TTGGGTAGAGCAGGGCCTGGTGAGATGGCATGGAGGTGTGGCAGGGATCTCGATATTAAGGTCTACCAGATGTGTTGAACAACTTTGGGATTGTTCCTCCATTTTTCTGAGCATTGTTTTTGATAGTAATAGTATTTAGGTCACAAGGTTGCTGGAAGGGAGAAGGACTAAAGAAACCCTTTTAAACATGTTAATCATTCATCTGCTCCCCAAAAACCCAAACAAAAACAAACAAAAAACTAAACCCTTGTTTTGTGGCCCACTGAGTTTAACAACAGCCATTTGTGTGACCGGGGTTCATGAGTTCATGGGGAAGGGGGTCACAAATGAAGAGAATGCCTGCTTTGCTCAGGATCCATCAATATCCCACAGTTCCCCAGGGAGGGCAGGGCCATGTGTCATGCGGATCCCTCCTCAATGTCGATAGACCTAGTATTATACAGTCAGTCCATTATAGCTGAAGGGCTCCAGCAGGCCCGAGCACAGCAAACATGGAACCCATAGGTTTTGCTCCTTTCCCCTTTTCCTCTCACTTGCCAAAAACATTAGATTACTGTCTTAAAGCTAGCCCCCAAGGTCCATTCCCCTATTTGGCCACTGACTCATTCCTGAGTCAAAACACCAAGGTCCAACATCAAAATTCATTATTTGGCTAGCATATCAAATCAGGATTTACCAACTCACTCTAGCACAGATTCCCCCTTTCTCCTTAAAAACTCACTCCTGTAGGCACACAAGCTGTTGCTGCTTCCTGTCTGCCTTTGTCCAATCCAGAGGCACCCTCACCCCTCTCCACCCCTGCTTGCTCCTCCAGGGTATTAAATCTCCTTTGTGCTGGAAATTTGATGTCTGGGTGTGTCCAGTACTGACTCTCCGACTCTGAGGGACCAGTCTTCCTTGGCTGCTGTGAGATCCCAGCTGTATTGTCCAGAGGATAGCAGGAGAGGGAGGTTAAGGGTTATAGTAAACAGAAGGTACTACATCTATGCATGAAGTTGTCAAAGAACAAATTTAATAAAAGATAATTAAAAATAGCTTTTAGAGGTCACTGTTACAAAGCAGGGGTCACCAGTGGACCCTCACATTGAACTGGCTGGTACAGCCTTCAATGGCTGCTCTATACTCCCCACGGGAAGGAAAAGAAAGTCTCAGAGGCCAACTAAGAGACAAATCCAGCTTCCTAGACAGGAGGCTATGAACCAAACGGGAAGAAAAGGGACGCAACCACAAAGTGACTACATGAGCATTTATTAAGCACCCATAGTATTCCAGGAACTTAAGCTCTTGGTTACCTCAAGAGTGTGCCTGTTCTTACACCCATGAAGAACTAGAACATCAGAAGGCTAAAGGAATTTCTCTAGGTCATAAACAGATTCTCAGGTGAGTCCTTAAAGCCAAGGATGAATGTCCCTCATCCCCACAACACAATGGCTTTCAAATACAACCATCAGTTCCCACTAATGGACTAGCCCTGGAACAAGCAGCCTTGGCACATGGGCCCTGCCATAGCACAGCACCTTCCATGTTCCTAGCACGTCTACAGCACTAGCCCTTCAAGGCACTGGCACCCTCCATACCTTGATGCCCTCCATAGAACAATAACCTTCTACGGCACTGTGACTGTCCATAGTACCAGCACTGTTCATGGCACCAGAGCCGCCCCCCCGCCCCCCGCCCCCCGCAGCCTTCCAGCCTTCCCTAGTAACAGCACCAGCCTTGGCACCAGCACTATTGACAGAGCCAGCATCCTTTTTGGCATCAACACAACCGCAGTACCTGTCTCCTTCTCAAGATCACTGCTTCCCTTAGCAACAAGACTTCCTATAGCAACAGAACCTTCCTAAGTGCTGCCACTTCCACAGCACCAGAATCTCCCACAGCAGCCTTTCTTCAACAGCTCCCGTATCTCCATAATACTATACTCTCTGTGACACCATACGCCTTGGGCCCACACTGCCTTCCGCACCACCATCTCATAGCCAGGGACTCTCTTCACCACCAGGACCTTCCTCTAGCTCTCCTTCCAAAGTGTCACCGCCTTCTGTGCCATCAGCACTTCCCCAGCACCAGAGCCACCATAGTGCCAGTTCAACTGGGCACCAGCACTTTCCACAGCAGCACCATGGCCACAACAACAGAACTTTCCAGAATGTCGTTATACTCTGCAGCAAAGGCAGTTTAGCGACATCCCCAGCTCCCAGGGCTCAGGAAGGCAGGATTTGTTCAAGTTAGTTTACAGACACTCTTCAAGCTTTTTGTGATAACTGCAAGAACCTCTTCAGATATAGAAAAGCAGGGTGTATAGGGTGGGGTAGGGGTGGGGTGGGAGTGGGCAGCGGCTGTTTGTCAGCACGGAGCTGTCTCTAAGGCTATCTGTAAATGCTGCACCCCCAGCTCTGCTTCTCCAGATGAAGTCTCCATCATAGCTCCAAGCACATCTAAGGATAGCAAGGCCACCTCCTCCACCCACTATGACTCTAGGCTCAGAACACCTTCCCAGCCTCTTGCCTGCTTGGAGGGTACCCCTCGGGTCCAGTCAGAGGAGCTCATTCCTCCGTCCCAGGCAAAAATGAATTTCATGATTCTGCTCCCACAGCAGCTTTGGTGGGTCCCTGAGCCCCACTGAGCTTACTCATGGAAGACCCTCAGACTCTTCTTAATTACCCCACAGCCTCCTCCCACACCACCCTCCAGTCAGCAAATGTATCCTCCACAAAGCCCAGAGGAAGCTCTCTGAAGAAAGCTGGAAACCAGGCTAATTAACACTTCAAGCTTTACATAAGCAAATGAGAATTTGCTTCACACACACACACACACACACACACACACACACACACACACCACCTCTTTTGTTCAAAAAGCAGGGTTTGTCTCCACCTACATCTGACAGTCAGTGCTCACAAAGGGATGCTGGGGAACCACACCCTCGTCCTCCAGTACTGACCCACCAAGGCAAACTGAGCCAAACTGTACGAGGGGCCTTCCACTGACCTGGACCACGACTGAGTCACCCTTGTTCATTCTCTTAGCTGACTCAGTTCTGCTCTATCTGGAGTAATCAACTGGCTGGACAGAAAGGCCAGACAGGCCCAGCTCCAAAGCTGGCCCAGACACTGGATAGCTGGGCCAGCAGATTGAATCATTTGTCTGAGCCTCAGTTCCCTTTTGATTAATGGGGGTTTATTCCAGTCTACCCCCTTTCTCTCTGAGTCTATTTCTGTCTCTGTTTCTCTCCTCTATCTTTTCTCTTCTGTCTCTCCTCTGTCTGTCTCTGTCTCCGTCTCTCTACCCCCCCTCTCTCCCCCTCTCTCCCTCTCTCTCCCTCTCTCTGTATGCCAAGGCAAGCATGTGCAGTCAGGTGACAACTCTATGGAGTTGGCTCTCTCTCCTTTATGTGGGTTCTAAGAGCTGACTTAGGTCTCCATGCTTGTCACCTGCGGAGAGAGCCATCTCTCCTGAAGAGAGCCTGAAAAAGTAAACCTTGAGAATTTGTAAAATAGTCTATTATAGAAACATGGTTTTATTTATGCAATCAAGGGGAAAGTAGAAGATCTAACCTTGTCTAACAATTTGAGATATATACATATACATATAAACACACACACGCGCGCGCGCACACACACACACACACACACACAGAGAGAGAAAGAGAGAGAGAGAGAGAGAGAGAGAGAGAGAGAGAGAGAGAGAGAGAGAGAGAGAGAAAGCATTCTTATGTGTGACTCTGGGCATTTTGCTGTGAACTCTGTTGCCAGGACAAGTCAATTCTGCACCAGGACCAGATATCATCATCACGATCCCTGCTTTCCCCTCAGACCTCTGTGCTCATTTCTGCAGATAGCTGCATATAGCAGGAGGCAGTCCCACATTCACTAGGCCCCCACTGCACAGCAGAAGCTAAGGTGACAGTAAATGAACAGTTCCATCTTCGCAAGGGAGTTAGCATACAGGCTCACACACACAGCCACTCAGTTGCAGATTTAATGCAAAGAGTGATTATCAAGGGCAAAAAGAAACCCACTCCAGTCCCCAGATGGCCAAGGGCAGTGTTCTCGTTTAGCTTCCGATCTTATTTCTGCACTATCCATTTACTAGTCTTGTCTGGACCACTCTAAATTTTTACTTGGACAATTATAGTAGCCTAACAGTCTCCCATTTAACTTCTTGCCCACCACACATCGTTATGTGAGAGATGATGCGATTTTTCTAATTTAGTCACATCTCTCCTCTATTTGCAGTCCTTCAGAGGCTTCCTATAGCTGTCCACAAACACCCTAAGGTCCATCCACATGGCCCATGAAACTTGAGACTATCTGCATCCTATCCACAGCCTCATCATCCTTGTTCCTGTTGATGCTAATATTCCTAAAGCCTCGGGGCCTTTGTACAAGCTATGCTCTCTCAGCCCCATCACTCTTGTTTCTACTGAATGCTGGCCTCTCCTTCCTATCAGTTCCCAGGCACTAACCTCAGCTTCTCCTACATCTGCTCATAGCATGCTTTACTGCTCTGTCCACTCCCAGCATGCTTTACTGCTCTGTCCACTCCTAGTGACCCTACCTACCCCACCCCAAAGAAACCCACCAGCTTGTATCTATCAGCTTCTCTTTCCCTCTGCTTTCCCTGTGTTGTGGCCAAAGCCTCTGACTAAAATTTGCCTTTCTTCACACATTCCGTCACATCTTCTGAATTGTGATGAAACGCAGGAAGAGGGCAAGAAGAAAGAGAGAGAGAGAGAGAGAGAGAGAGAGAGAGAGAGAGAGAGAGAGAGAAAGAGAGAGAGAGAGAGGCTGTAGACAGCCTTAACAGTCATTAAATCTGTCAAAACTGAAGAGCCCAAGATGAACTCTTATCCTGTGATGAACCTCAGTGATGGAGCCCATGTGACTTCCAGAATCCCTCCTGAAATAGGCTGTACCACTTTCCTCCTCTACAATGTCTCTGTACCACTAGCAACTGCCACCTTTCCCCCTTTCTTGTCACCCTGCCAAGGAACTGACCGTAAATTCAGCTATCTTCGGCACTCGGAACTTCCCTTTGCTCCTCTGCTCCGGCTGGTACTCTGTTCTTGTCTTCACGATCACCTGCAAAGTTGGACCAATGTTAGCAGAGACAAATGCTTCTCCCTCCCTCCCCACTGGCCACCAGGACTTGTGCTCCATCTCACCAAAATCTGGGATGATGAGCCCCCTTCCAAACAAGAAGAAAACATTCAAATGACCCCCATGACCCTCATCCAAGAAAGCATGGGATGATGTTGATTATACCTCTCCAGATGTTTGTGTGCATTATGGGTGTGGGCTGTTCATAGTAATACATACCCTGCTTTGACAAAGGGGAGTCAAATATTATGGGGTTACAGGCCACCTTTACCAGGCAATTCAATGTTCTTTTCTGTTTTTTCCACTCTCTAATGCAAACAAATGTGTGTGTGTGTCTGTGTGTGTGTCTCTGTGTGTATGTCTGTATGTGTGTCTGTGTGTGTCTGTCTGTGTGTATGTGTTGTATATGTGTGTGTCTGTGTGTGTGTCTGTGTGTGTCTGTATGTGTGTATGTATGTGTGTCTGTGTATGTGTGTGTCTGTGTGTGTGTCTGTATGTGTGTATGTGTGTGTCTGTGTGTGTATGTATGTGTATGTGTGTATGTGTGTGTCTGTGTGTGTGTGTCTCTGTGTGTGTGTCTGTATGTGTGTATGTGTGTCTGTATGTGTGTGTGTGTCTCTGTGTGTCTGTGTGTGTATGTGTGTGTGTGTCTATATGTGTGTATGTGTGTGTCTGTGTGTGTGTCTCTGTGTGTGTATGTATGTGTGTATGTGTATGTGTGTGTCTGTGTGTGTGTATGTCTCTGTGTGTGTGTCTGTATGTGTGTATGTGTGTCTGTATGTGTGTGTATGTGTGTGTCTCTGTGTGTCTGTGTGTGTATGTGTGTGTGTGTCTGTGTGTCTGTATGTGTGTGTGTATGTGTGTTTCTGTGTGTGTCTGTGTATGTGTGTTTCTGTGTGTGTATGTGTCTGTGTGTGTGTATGTGTGTGTGTCTGTGTGTATGTGTGTGTGTATGTGTGTGTGTCTGTGTGTGTGTATGTGTGTCTGTGTGTCTGTGTGTGTGTGTTGTGAGCGTGCGTGTGTGTGTTAGGGATATAACTCAGAGTCAAACATCTGCTCAGCAAGTGCTCTGCCATTGAATAATGCTCTCAACCTTTCACTTTGCCTTCTTTTGTGTCTTGTCTAAATGTGTTCTTTGACGGTTTCCATAAATGAATGTAGCACATTCTGCCTCGTCTTTCTCCCTCCCATTTACGTCGTCCTCCCACCCCTGCCGTGCCTCACTCTCCCCTACAGCTCTCTTCCTCGATTCACGTCTTTTTGTCTTGTCACCTCCTTATTTTAACCAGGACCATTTGTGTGGCTATGGGCTTGAAACTGCCACTGCAATCTGGAGGGTTGATCCACAACTGAAGATGAAGACTGTCCTGTTCCCAGGATCCACCAGTGGCCAGCAGTTCAGCTGGGAGCAGTGAGGCCACTGTGAGATCCTCCTCAATCCATGATTGGCTGTTGACAGGCCCGTTGCCACAGGTGCTATGGAATCACATTTGGAATGGCTTCGCCATGCTCTGAATATGGCATCTTCTTTTGATGTAGTGTGCTTCACTATATCTGTACACGGCAACTGATATTTAAATTTTTAAAATTATGTTTACTTGTGGAGGGCATGTATGTGCAGTGATATTTGTAGAGGTCAGAGGACAGCTAGCGGGAGTCAGCGCTCTTGTCCCAGCATGAAGTTCTGTGGTCTGAACTCTGGTTTTGGTGCACCTGCTGAGCCATCTCACTGGCTCTATAGATGACTTTTTTTAATTAAAAGGTTTTTTTTCAATTTTACACAGAGATACTGCACATTCATTATACCTTACCCTTTTAATAATGATACAAGATAGGAATTGCTTTGTTTTATAAATGAGGAAACTGTAGTTAGAACGTTACTAACTTGCCTAAGGCCACAAAGACACTGCCCACTAACAATGCTGGCATTTACACCAAGGTTCAGCTAACTTTAAAGTTTATCTGCAGCTAATCTTCAGTTAGTAAATGTTTAGTCCATTCCCATAGTCTGGGTTAGGAAACAAGTTATGATTAGTAACTTATTGGTTAATCCTTTGCACATATTCTTAACTGTAATATGATTTGGGGATTTGCACAAGGAAAAAATGAAGGCGTTTGTTCAGCCCATCACATCATCTGCTTTCACTGAAGTCTGATTATTTGGGCAGCATATTTTACCAAGATGTGCTGCCCACCTCACAAGACATTTATGGACTTCCACCCCACTTTGTGGGCTGAGTAGAAGAAAAAGAAACTTGATGAATAATTTGTAATTATTGCCAAGTGTTAAGGCACCGTGAAAACACAGAAACTGACTGAGCTGTGAGGTACCACATGAAGCTCCAGACCCCTGGTCAATCCCACAGCCCTTCATGCTTTCCCTGTCTCATACTAGACAGAGTACCTGTTACTACTCCAGGGGACAGTCGCCACTCCACAAAGTATTGAGCTCCTGCTATGTGACTCCTGACTGCAGCCTGAGCACAGTCCTTCCTAGGCCCAGTTCTGCTTGGAGTGGGGTGGGGTGGGTGGTATTTAGGTGTGGTGCTGGTACTCTTCTGTTTTTATGATCTTTTTACAGACTGCTTCTCACAGATCCTCCCATGATTGAACAAAGTCATGAAACTCTGGTGAAGGGGAAAAGATCATCAACTGGCCTTGACAAGAGACCCCAATATGCTGTGACAGGGCTATGCAGCTAGGAACTGACGGCAAGCCAGAACTGACAGCCGACATGAAAAAACAAACAAACAAACAAAACAAAAACAAAAAAAAAACCCCCACGAGAACTTCAGTACTGCAAACAAAAGGAATGGCATTCTCCCAACAGCTCAAGTAAGGTTGGATGAGGATGCAGGCCAACCACCTCCTGACTATCCTGAGACTGACTTACTATAACTCTTGGGTGATAAACTTGCATTGGCTCAAGGCAGCAGCGAGAAATTGTCACCTTCTCACATGCCCAGACCCACTCCTCACTTCTCGACTTAGCCACGTCTGTCCCCTCACCCATAGCTGTCTATCAGTCTGACTCTAGCTCCTTTCCCTCAGATGCTGGAGTGAAGGAGCATTTGCTGCCTCTGCTTTATAAACACCCTTCCCAGAGTCCCTGAAAAAGCTTAAAACCCTGCTTGCTATTTGGCGTAAATGAGAAAGGACCTATAGTCCAGCCATCATGTTGAACACTTTGATGTTGCTTCTCTAGTATCTGTTTCCTTCCTGAGTCAGAAGCTCCTTGGGTTCCTTCAAGGAGCTCACTCACCCCTGCCCCACTTGTGACTTGGTGGGACCCTGCCCCTTAATGACCACCATGATCTCTAGTTATATCCAGCCAACCAGGGAACACATTAGATATGAGGCGGCACAGACTGTTGCCTTGTGGGTAGAAGCCCCCTTGGTTTCCATGAGGTGGTGTTTTCCCTTGAATGATGCTGTAGGGACTTAAACTCCAGCACTGTGGTAGTAATTGTTGCTACTCCAAGAACAACCACGAGGAGAACAAGGGCAGCACATGAAGAAAGACACAGCCAGGAAGTGGAGACAGGCTTGAGAACATTCCATCCCCTGGGTCACACTGTCTAAAGCTGGATCCATGCTGAACTCTGCAATTATTGGGAAAATACATCCTTTTCTGGCTTTAGTTTTCTGATGTTTGAGACTTAAAGTTTTATGTCTGATACAAATGTGTTCCATGAAAACTCATGAAAACTTTTAAGAGTCCTCAGACTTCAGTGAGATGATCAAACACTAACTAGGTACACCTGAATCCAAGTTAGCTGAAAAAGCCTAGGAGCCAGTTAAAGCTAACTGAGAGGGTCCCGAGAAGACTCGTTCACAGTGGCCCCAAACTAGGAACATGCCAAATGTCCGACAGGGGGATGGATGTCCTGTGGCTGTTAAAACGGGAGCATTGCAGGGCAACATCACAAGTCCATGGTGAGTCCCACAGATGCCTGTTAAACACAAGAAATCAGATCCCAGCAGGCTTTTTAGATGCTGTGGGATTTCACTGAAGTCTTTAAGGAAGTATGGGCCTAACATGTAATTAACTTGACCACTATAGGAGCTATTTATTTTAAATACACACCTATCTCCCCTGGAGTGCTGAGCTGAGGCAGTGTTGGGGCCAGAGCCTGCAGTCTGCATCTTGTCCTGCTGAATGCTAATGAAATGCTCCAGGTGCCCTGGGAAATTCTTCTAATGAAACATTTTTATATTTTATTTTAATTTATTTCAGCCTCAGGGACCGTCCGTTGCCTCTGCCTGGCATGTGAGCACCCCTCAGTTAGAAAGTCCACATGTTCTCCAATGCTCCTTTGAGCCCCGGGTCCATCCCATGCGGCTAGCACCTTCTTCCTGGGGTAAGCAGCCAGTGTGCTGCCCTCACCCTGAGCTCACTGGGGATTCATCAGCTGTGCAGTCAATGGAAACTGAATTGGAAGTTTGCATTTTGCTCTTTCCCAGGCTAGATCTTTTGGCTGGCCGGGCCCTCACCCAAATAGGGAGAATGATGAGAGAACACCACAGAGCACCATGCTGCTAAGCTAGGCCATGCAGGATGCTACACGGGTTGCATGTGCTTCTGACTTAGAATATCTTCCTACCAGAGGTTCATTCTAGAGGCAGAATAAAGTGCCATGGGCCTGTGGCATGCCGCCCTTCTCCTGAAACTTCTGCTCCCTTGGTCTGTTCTGATCGCCCCTGCTCAGCTTTCGGTCTCCAGCTTCTTCCCTTCTATGTAGCCTCCTCATTCTAGGGGGACACTGGGACTTTACAGGGAAAGTCCTTCCCACTCTGAGTCTTTACAAATGCCCAGGCCTGTGTGTCCCCATTGACTGCCTCATGCTGAGCAAGCTCATCTTTCATTCTTAGGACTCTCAGTGTACAACTCTGCTCAGCTCACAGAGCCTCACTTTGCCTACTGGGTGCTTCCTCTCAGATCCACACACCCACGGCCACATTCAAGCTGCAGGGCTCTGCCT